TACAGCTATGCTACCCCTGTATAATGGAGTCTGTCTGTGTCTTGTTTCCAGGGCACAACCATATTAGTATCCCTGACATCTGTGCTCCACGATGACAAAGAATTTCCCAGACCTGAGACTTTCGACCCTGGCCACTTTCTAGATGACAGTGGCAAGTTCAAGAAAAGCAACTACTTCGTGCCTTTCTCCACAGGTAAGCGCAGTGCATTTCCCTGCGGATACCAAGCGACACGCACTGTTGAGGTCATCAGGAGTGGCGCCTCCTGCTTGCTCACACGTCTGTGCGTGACTGACAGCCTCACTTCCAACACCTAAGCGCGCGTGTGCTCGTGATATGCTGGTGGGGCTTTACTTTTTCTTTTTATCACTCCCTTCCACATCATACAAGCTAGAGTAAAATCTGTTTGTATTCTCTTTTATTTATTTGCATATGCAGGTACCATCATCTCTTCCAAAACACAAAGCTCTGTTAAACGTTCTTCACCTGCCATGACAAAAGCGATCTCATTCTCCAATGTGATTATTTTCTGTGTGATATCATTGTTCGCCCCGTAGAATCAGCAGTGGATAGTGTATTTACCTAACAGAGCAGCACCAAAAGCCTCACGCTCTCTGTGTTCGTTGTGACGTTAATGCTGTGAGAGAGTTAAGCACAGATTGGTGGCGAGAGGGCGAGAAGAGCTGCAAGCTTGCGGTAGCCGCACGTCTCAGTCTGAGGCAGAGAAACAAGCCATCAGGCCGGCGCGCAGGCGCTGGAAGGGAAGGAAGGCGTGCGCCGGTCCACCCCGTGCCCACACCTAGTTTACCATGTGGGGTGTGGCGTAGTGTATGCGGACTCTTCAGGCCCGAAGCCGTGTTGGGCTGCAGGCTTTGGTGCTGCCTCGGCAGAGATGCTAATGCTGTTGCTAGAGGGTGAAAACTAGCTCCCATCGCTTCCTCAGCCTGCAGTCAGGAATAAGGGCACCAGGGACCGAGGTGGGTTCGGTGTTGTCTTCTGAAGTCCAGGGCAGTGGGCAGCGGGACTGCGGGGGTCAGGACCATACCAGCTGCAGGAAAGCACTCAGGCAGAGGCAAGACGATGGCTGCAGACAACCCTGCAGATCAGGGAGCAGAAAAACACGAAGGGACCGGCCAGCCCTCCGGAATCACTGCCCAGGAGAAGGAGCTGTCCGCCAGCGCCTCCCGAGCCGTCACATCTGGAAATTACGATGCCTGTCTGCAACACCTTGCCTGTCTACAAGATAGAAACAAAGATGATTACAAAATAATTTTCAATAGAGCAGTAGCTGAGTTTTTAAAAAGTAACCAACCAACTACAGATAATTTGAGACAAACACTTAACAAGCTGAAGACTCGGGTCCACTATCATCTGCGGCAGTATACAGAAGCAATAGCAGTTGGTGAAAAACTTTATCAGTTCATAGAACTTTTTGAAGAAAAATTTGCCCAGGCGGTACGTCTTCTGCTTGTAGACATGTACATCTTAACCTACCAAGCTGAGGAAGCTTTGCATCTTCTAGCTGTCCTAGAAAATATGATTTCACAGGGTAACAACAAAAATGGGAAGAATGAGACTGTAATAATAGCAACAAAAATGGATCTAATCATAAAGCTGAAAGTGGAGCTCTGATAGAAGCTGCAAAATCAAAGATACATCAGTACCAAGTAAGAGCTTATATCCAAATGAAGTCCCTGAAATCACGCAAAAGGAAATCAAGTCAGTCATGAACACAGCTGGAAGTTCTACGCCTTGTTTCTTAACAGCAATTTTGCATCCTTAAGGAGCAATTATTGAAAAGCTGTGAAGCTGTTAAATAGTTCAAACATTGCTGAGCATCCAGGATTCATGAAAGCAGGAGAATGTTTGCGATGCATGTTCTAGACTAATTTTGGTTGCACTTACCTTGCCACGAGCCAGCACAATTCTGGAATTCTCTACTCTGAGAAGGTAAGAGAATGACACCTGTGCACAGCTCAGTGCCAGGAGCACCGGCTCAGGCAAAAACTGTCAGGAAGACTAACCAACAAGAGGTAGGAGTTGCTGTGTAACTGTGGGGTTCAGCTTCTTCCCATCAGGAGACCCCTTGCTGCCTTCAAGTGTCTGATCAAAGTCAGTCAGGTTTGCCATGCAAGTCCTCGCTTGTGGTTACAGCTGGCTGGACGCTGCATCGCTGCAAGTAAGGGGACTTCTCAGCAAGAAACTACAGGTCTTTCAAGTAAAAGGGAATCGCACAGTCTGTCATTGGTCAGGGCTACCATCATCAAGTAGTTCTGGCCTCACGGCCTGTATAGAACACTGTCTATAATGATGGGCGGTCTTCGTCCAGTCCTGTAGCCAGTATGGAGTTTGCAGCCATTTGCCTCAGAAACACTTCGTGGCTGTTATCTGAAGAATAGCAAGATCCAAAGCAGGAAAATGGGTCTAAAAGCAGCAGCCAGCTGGGCGGGGAGTGGGGAGGTCACAGGAGAGCAGCGAGAGCGGTGAAGCCTGCAGCAGTAAAACCCAAGATGGAGATAGAGTGATTTTGGCTCCCCCTTCCTCTCCATGGAGAAAAGAGGAACTGGAACACTTGAAGGGCTCTATATTGGCTTACTGTGCATTCACGGCCATGGCCCTGGGCCGTGACGTGATGGCTTTGAATCATGTGGAAAGCTTCTTCAGCAGCCCAAACTGTCAGGCTCTCTTAAGTTCCTGGGCTACTTGTACGTGGCAGAAGCCCTCATCTGCCTGGACAGATATCCGATGTGATTACTTCCTTGAACCCTGAGAATGTCCCCGAAGTCTCCTTAGGGGTCTCTTCCAGTGAGCCGAAGCAAGGGTCAGACAGGGGTGAAAATGAAGCAACGGAACCCTCTGGGCAGCGGACACCCCAGCACTACCCTCGCTCTGTCCCTTTGGCCAGGACTGTGATGCTCTTCAACCTCGCCAGCACGTACTACCTACTGAGCAAGTGCGACGAAGCCCAGAAGTGTGTGCACCAGGCGGCTTCCGTGAGTCACCCGGAGGAGGTCTCCCACGGCCTTCTTGCTGGCTGTCTACCTGGGGCTGCAGAACGGTTCCACACAGTTGGCCTTGCAGATCATCAGAAGGAATCAGCTGCTCCCAACGGTGAAAGCACACTCAGAAGTGAGGAAGAAGCCCGTGTTCCAGCCTGCCCGCCCGATCCAGCCCATCCGGTGAGCTCCAGCGTGCACCGCAGTGCAGAGAAAATGATGCTTTGCTTTCAAGAAAACCGCAGCCCAGGACCCAGGGCAGTGCTTGCCTTGTGAGTTGTGTCACAGCAAGTGAATAAAAGACACATAGTGAAGAGTGCTTAAAAAAAAAAAAAAAAGCAATCGATAAGCTGGTAGCATAAAGTATTATCTAAGCTGCAACATAAGGGTCGGAAGCCTCAAGGAACCCCATGTGGAAGTGGACACTTCATGATAAGGGGTGGCTTAGTGAAAAGCATATTTGTCTGGTGCTGTGAAAACAGTCTGTGCTGAGGAGGTCAGTGCAAGTGTTACAAAGGACAGAGTGTAAAACCCTCCTGGAACATTAAAAACAGGGTGCACAGATGAAGTGTAACTTTTTTTTAAAAAAATGTATTTGGTGCAGGGCCTCATTACGGAGCTTTCACTCATAGTGATCCACCTGCCTAGGCCTCCGGAGTGCCGGGATTGCAGGCACATACCACCATGCCTGGTCTCAGCAGCCATTTCGCACACCTGGGACAGGACTGGCACGGCGTGTGGTGCCAGGGATCAAACCCCAAGCCCTGCACTTGCCTGGGCAAGCACTTAGTCTGCTGAGCTATCTTGTTGGCCCTATTAGAAGTGTGAATTTTTCAATGAAAACTAAAATATTAAATTAAAATGTCATGAAAATTCATACTAGAGGAATATTTATTAATATGTAGGCATGAAGCTAGTGCTCAATACCTATTTTTGAATTATATGCACTATTTAACTAAGTTCATATGTTACATGGGTCGCTGACCTGTCCTGTATTGCATGTCTAGTTGGGCATCTAGTCATCCATCCATCCATCCATCCATCCATCTAGCCACCTGGCCCTCTGTCCATTCGTCCTTCTGTCCTTGCTTCTTAGAGCAACACTTACATATGAGGATTATCTACATTTTTTTTTCTATTTTCAGGCAAACGTAATTGTGCGGGAGAAGCTCTGGCTCGCATGGAGCTGTTTTTGTTCCTGACCAGCATTTTACAAAACTTTAACCTGAAATCAGTGGTTGATCCAAAGAAGCTCGACACCACTCCGGTTGCCAACGGGTTTGTCTCTGTCCTGCCCTCATTCCAGGTCTCCTTCGTTCCCGTCTGAAGAAGGGCAGGCCGCCCCGCGGTTCTGTGACGTCTTCAGGCATCTGCTCCCCGGCGTAGGCTGCTCCTCCCTGTTCTCGCGGCTTCGCTTGTGTTGCCGCCCAAAGTGCGAAGACCTCTCTAACGCTAAACTGTTGTTACGGTATCTCTGTTAAAAAGTAAAGTGATTTTCTTATATAAGTTCAGAATCAATTTTCTTCAGGATGCTACTAATACTAAAGATGTTTAGTTGTCGTTTCTGCTTGCAAACATGCGTGTGCACAGTGGAAATACAAAATAAAGTTTTATCCCAGAAGGTCCACATTTTGGTCACAAACTGGAAGATGTTAGAAAAGCTTTCTAGCTCTGTGTCCCGATGACAGAAGCGCCAGTGCTGGTTAGACGCCAACAGCATTCATGATACACTGAGAAGACACTCTCCATGTACGCAGGAACTCAAATGGACAACCTGATGGACAAGCCATCATCAGTTAAATTCCAATAACTGAAGTGTTTGGAATAAGAATCAGGGTTGCTTCTCAACGCAGTACATGCTTGGAGTGCAGGTCTGTGAACACCCTGACTTGAGAAAAGTTCAAATCCTTCTGAGAACTCAAACCAAACACAGAAAGTACCACCGGTCTGCAGTTAGGCCCTCGCCTAGCAGCCACCGTGCAATGGTCGCCTTTCCTAACTTTCCTCCCAGGTGAAGAGAGAAACTAGTGGATGAGGGGTGTGTGTGTGTGTGTGTGTG